TTTATTGTTAATTACCGAAAAGCAGCTCAATTTATCTTTTACCAAAAAATACCTGACATTATTTTTCTTTGCGTAATTTTATTTTATTTCACCAAAATTCACCTCAATTTAGTTTTTTTTTTAGAAAAAATGCATCCAATTTTTTTTCCTTGCCTCATTTTATTTTTTCATACCAAAAAATATCTCAAACTATTTTTCATTATCTCGTTTTTTTTTTGTCACCAAAAAGTACCTCAGTTTATTTTAGCTAAAAAAGAGTACCTAAATTTATCTTTCTTACTAAAAAACACCTCAGTTTATTTTAATTACCGAAGAGTACCTCAAGTTATTTTTTTAACAAAGAAATACCTCAAATTACTTTTCTTTAGCATATTTAATTGTTATTTTTATCTGAAAAGTAGCTCATTTTATTTTTAAAACGAAAAATGTCTCTTCTTATTTTAATTTCTGAAATTTACCTCAATTTATTGTTTGACCAAGAAAATATCTCAAATTATTTTTCGTTGCCCCCATTTTATTTTTTTCTTACCAAAAAGTTCGTCACTTTGTTTTTTAACAAAAAATACATCAAACAAGTTTTCTTTTACCATATTTTATTTCTTATTACCAAAACGTTTTTACAAAACAAATAACCTCAGTTTATTTTAATTACCAAAAAGTTACTGAATTTTTGTTTTTACAAGAAAAAATGCCTCATTATATTTTTCTTTACTTGATGTTTTTTTTTATTTCCGAAAGTCTCCTCAATTTTCTCTATTTCTTACCAAAAAATGCCTAGAATTATTTTTCTTTATCTCATTTTATTCTTTATTACCAAATAATTCATCAATTTATCTGTAAACGAAAAATACATCAGTTTATTTTGATTTGCCAAACGTACTTCAATATATTTATTTTAGGAAAAAGCACCTCAAATTTTATTTCTTTACCTCATTTTTGTTCTTTATTTCCGTAAATAACCTCCACTTATTTTGTTACCAATTAGCAGCACCAATTATTTTTCTTTGCCTCATTTTATGTTGTATTGCAAAAGAGTACCTCAATCTATTATTCAAAAGAAAAATACCTCAGTGTTTTTTTTGTTACCAAAAAGTATCTCAATTTATTTTGCGTCAAAAAATTCCGCAAATTATTTTTTCTTACCTCTTTTTATTTTCTATTTCAAGAAAGAGCACACCAATTTTTTTTTTCCACAACAAATACGAACTTCTTTGTAGTTTTTCTTTACCTCATTTTATTTTCTTTTGCAAAAAAAATGCCCCGATTTATGTTCTAACTAAAAAATTCCTCAAATTCTGTTCCTTTGCATCATCTGGTTTTTTTATTACCTAAAAGTAGCTCTATTTATTTTTATATAA